ACTCAGTCCATTGCAGCTGTGCTAAATGGACTTGAAGCACTAGTCCATTAACATAAACTTAGGGCTCTGAAGAAAATTAACTTGCTTGTGTAGATAGCACAAATGGGAACATTTTCAAAGAGCAGCTGGATTATTGGGTTTGGGTAATATAATACAGCCTCAGATCTGAAATTGGGGACTGGTTGGAGATTGGGAACAAAAATAGTTCCTACTGATATACCAAGGTGTGCTGCCAGAACCTGAACAGGAGGATCCTTTGCTCAGTAGTCTGTCTTTGCACCTAGTTTGTGGGCAAAGGAGGGAGAGAAAGGGAGTGGAGAGAGAGAATCTATATATCTGTTTTTTCCAAGTCCCATCTAAACACTTTCTCAGATGTCTAAACAAGGAAAAGAGGCAATAAACATGGAGTAAATAGCTCTTGGCTGGAAATCCTTCTCCTTTTTGCTTTACAGCTAACTGGGAGTATAATGAGGATATGGCATGGTTTCATTTGTATCATGTGGGGTAAACCAAACTTATTTTACTGGAGGGAAGAGCTGTTTGTCTTCACTTGCAAGCTTTTGTTCCTTTGTTTGTGTGAACCCTGTCTTTTGGTATGATAGTTTTCGGCAAGAAAAATAGCTTTTATTAAAACCCTTGTTCAGAGACTTGTCTGTAGAGACAACTCTGTAGTATTCAACAAACCAGTGAAGAACAGTCTCACCCTCAGTCATTCAGACCTTAGGTGGTGAAATATTGAAACAAGGTCAAAATTTCTATAGTACAAATGGAGATAAGAACATAAAATTTGTGCACCCTGAAAAGATAGGATTCTTTGAGAAGCTGCAGCATAAAAATTAGAAGGAATAGAAGGACTCGAGGACTTCTGCAGTAGAAAGACTGCAGAATCAGGGCATGCTCTGGAGACTTTTCCCTACTCCAGACATGAGGATTTCCAAATTATCCAGGAACTGGTTCTTGCTCCCAGTTGCTGTCTCTCTTTTGAATATCATCTTGGTTAGCAGATAGTTAACCTTACTCTGAAGAAGTAAGGTGTTAAAACAGATTCAACAAAGTCTTTGCACATGTACTTAACTTTAAAAATATTCAGAGATTAATGAGGCTGAGAAGGCATTCCTGATCATCTGATCCAATCTATTGCCACAATTTCCCCTTTGAGTCTTCTAACAGGTTCACAGGCTTCTTCTGTCCGTTCAGCAAAGCACAAATGCACATAATCTCTTCAGAAGTGCATGAATATATATGATTAACTTCAGGGATGCATTTATGCAGTGAAGCACCGTAGTTAGATATATTCTGAAATGCCACTAGGTAATTCTCGGTAGAGGTTAGAAGGGATTGGTCTTCATGAGTCTGCTTGTGAAAGAGATGGGGTGCCCCAGAGAGTACTCTACCTGTTCTCTCCATTGACCCTGGAAGAAGGCAAAGGCCATAAACTAAGCATTATTAAGCATTAGATGCCTAATGTGGATCTGTGTCATTGTCCTCTTTCTGTTGGATAGTTTTTTCATATTTGAAAGATTGTAAGTTTTATGGTTTCATTATCTAAATCTGTATAATCCCTAGTGTTAGTGAAAGAAGTAAATTTACCAGGAAGCTCTGCCAGTGGTTCCCTCTTGCTCCCAACTCTCTTATCCCTATGGTCCCACTATCCATTTCTGTCATTTTGTCCCAAATACTGAAGGCCAAAGAAAATTATGAATTGGAAACTCTTTCTTCTCTTTTATATTCCCTCGTCATTTTCTCTCCTAAGCTTGTTTTTGTTTACTGTCTTTTCTAAAGAAACCTCTCTTGAGTTTGTCTCTATTGTGCAGCTTTGCAGCAGTCAGGAATGGTAATTTGAAAATCACCATTTGAAATTTGAAATGCCATAAGCATAATATGTCAAGGGTTATTTGAATTTGGTGTTTCTGCCAGACTAGATTTCCTGACTAGAGTTCTGGCTGAGAAACCAGAGGGAACTCAGAGAAGAGCTGCAGGTATGATCAGTGCTTGCTTAGGACTGTTGGAATACAAAACCTCCAGAGGAGAACTAGAAGAATGGAGACATGTTCAGCCTGAAAGCAAAAGCATGGATGAAGGTGTGTGAGTGAGGGAAAGGCATAGCTGCTACCTATTATTAAGTAAAAAGGATTTTACAAAAGATTCAGCGAGCTTGTTCTCATTGCTCAGTGAAGGTAGGGAAAAGAATAAAAAGCCTCAATTGCAGCAGAGTAGCAGCCTTTGACACTGGCTCCCACAGCATACTCCTGAAAAAGCTGGCAGCCCACAGCTTGGACAGGTGGTGGAGTTCACCATCCCTGGAAGTGTATAAGGACAGACCAGATGTTTACACTCAGTTGACCTGGTAGTGTTCAGTCATAGGTTGGACTCAATGATTTCAAGTCTTTTCAGACCTAATTGATTCTGCAAAATTTTAGCAAAAACTTGGCAGACTTGTAGTTACTGGTGGTACAAGCAGTTGAGCATCACTGGATGTGGTGTGCAAGGTGAGACAAAATAGTCTGTGAGACAGAGCTGAAGAAGGAATATTTTAGTCCATCCTACAAGGATGGGAAAATGTACTAGCAAGTCCAGCAGAGTGCTGTGTCAGCTGAGCTGAGAATGACATATTGCTCACCAACAGATTGGTTTGTTGGGAGATCAGCAGGGAAGAGAGTTGGCCAAACAGGAGCCGTTGGTACATATGGTGACTCATATTTGGGATCCCACTTGATTATTGCATTAATCTTTTTAGAATTGGGGATGGCTTCAAATAGCAGTGAGGTGGATGGGGAAGAGAGAGAGAAGAGGGACACCTATGAGAAGTAAGAATGCCAAGAGAGAAGGCAGGATTCTCAAACCTTCCTCAGGATGTATCTGTGCCATCACACTAATTTGAGGCTACACTGGCCTACACTTTCACTCCAGTCACTGGACTCTTGGGCAGCAGTGTTGGCATTACCAGGGATGTGCTTCCATGCTGCAAGCCTCTCTCCATGAAGCACTGTTGATAGAACTAGCTCAGCCCTGGGGGTGGAAAATTGAAAACTGCAGAATCCAACCAGCATTTATGGAAATGGCCCAAGTAACTACGAGCACAATTTCACCTTTGCAAAATGGGGAGGGAGGGAGGGAGGGAGGGAGGGAGGGAGGGAGTGAGGGAGGGAAGGAAGGAAGGAAGGAAGGAAGGAAGGAAGGAAGGAAGGAAGGAAGGAAGGAAGGAAGGAAGGAAGGAAGGAAGGAAGGAAGGAAGGAAGGAAGGAAGGAAGGAAGGAAGGAAGGAAGGAAGGAAGGAAGGAAGGAAGGAAGGAAGGAAGGAAGGAAGGAAGGAAGGAAGGAAGGAAGGAAGGAAGGAAGGAAGGAAGGAAGGAAGGAAGGAAGGAAGGAAGGAAGGAAGGAAGGAAGGAAGGAAGATCTATGCAGAGTAGGCAGAGAAATGTAAGGATGTTGGACTGCAAAGGTAAGCTAGTGAAGAATTACTAAAATAACTCCAAAAACTAGTAAAGGGAGAGAAACTGAGATAAACAATTAAAAAGGGGTTGAAAAAGAAATACAGAGAAAATAAAGGGTTTGCTGTAGGAAAAAAAAAAGTAGGCAACAAAGAGGACAAAGTGAAAAGATTTTTTTAAGAGGTAAAGGAAAAAAGATTCAGATAATACACTGTGGATGTAGTCATGCTGAGCATACCGAGCACAGTGATGAATGGATACATAGCAGAAGAAAATGTTCTGTATAGACTTATACACTATCCTGTTTGTGAGAAGTGAACTTGAGCAATTGCTGCCACGGAGTTTTAGAAAGTTAAAAAATAAGTTTATTTTGAACAGAAAGAAATGTCTAATTCAAAATTATTATGCAATACATAGAAATTGCATAAGTATATTAAAAATGAAGAAGTTGTCCAGGATTATCACAATGTGTTCTTTCTGCCTGTTTTGCAGCTCTCACCCTTTTTTTTCAATTCTTATTTCAAAGTTAAACATAGGGTCAACTGTTTTTTCCCTTAGCAATTGCATCAGCCATAGGCATGTGTCACATGGTAAATGAAAGAGTATGATTAATTCAAAACAAAATTTTGAATCATTTAAAAAGCAGAAACTTCATATTTCATTGCTAACCTATTCCCATATTAAAAAATCCAAAAAATCACATTGCAATTTCTGGGACAAAACCATTTCAAATATTTGAAAATACTCATTCCTGCATGCATTTCATTCTGTCCAAAGAATATTTCCATCCCAGAGTTGTCCAATACTCTGTTTCCCATTTCATTAAAAACCCCAGAAAATAATTAAATAATGGGTATTCTGCCCAAATATTAAATGCTATACATATTTCCAGAAATTATTGTCTCCACATTATGTGATGACCCGTGCCTCCAAGGTTAATGGAAAATGTCTAGCTAAGCAAACTGATGCTATTAGGGAATTAACATGATCTTCTGCTATCACCATGCAGGTATATGTGCCTCTGTCATCCCTTGTTAGTGTGGATTTTTGGCTTCTGCAATAACAGCACAACTAGAAAACTGCATTGGTTTATGCTTAAGCCAAAAAGCTTAGCAACAAAAACACAAAGCAAAGAGCCAGTGCAATACAAAGATTATTTTTCCTAGTGATCAGAGTGTGAGGATGAAGTGAGGAGTTTTGCAATTTGTTTCCCAGTTTAGTCACTGATTCAATGTGACTTTTCAAGAAGGACTTTATGCTCTCCTCACCGTAGGTGCTTGCCTCATTTTCCTCATCATTGAAACAATAGCAACACCAAACCACTTCACAGCTGAGGTTGTGAGTGACCGAAGGACACTGACACCCTCCAGCAAGAAACTGCTACAGAGAAGACAAATGTGATGCTGATCAGCTCCAATGCATTGTGATTAAAGAGTCTTAAGGCAGCAAAACCTGCTGGTTATCATGGCATTCATATGCATTTGCATTGCTCTGACCAAAGTATTAGGACCCACATTCCACAGGGGTTGTCAGGGCTGTGCCCTTCAGGGATGGCTGGGGTTATCCTACCATTCGGTTCCCGCCCTGTTGATCTCTTCCCACCAGCACTCTGTCGGCTCACCGAGGCTCTGGGATGCTGGCATGCAGGCATAGTTCCACAGTCTGTCAGAGCCTTCCTTCTTGCTGAAGACACTTCTGACGGCCACGATCACCTGCCCATGAGGGCACTGAAAGTTGAAACTTTGCCGGTACACATTGACCCATTCATCATTATCTCCATAATTATAGGGACCATAATAATAGTCACTGTACTGGCCCCATGCCACAGTCACCAGAGGCAGGAACACACAGACAAGGAAAATGTCCATCCTGAAGATGTTCCTGACTTAGAAGTGCCCCTCTGGTTTGTGGAGCTGGCCCTTTTATATTGCCTCTAACATTTGGCTTCCAGATGTTATGTTTCCAAATCCAAGTGCAGTGTGTCATTGCTTAGCAAACCTCTGAGCTACAGAGATGTCCAATTACTTTTAAGGTGGAATTCTGCAAGTACAGTAAGACTTCAGTCCCTAAGAGCAGGGTCTTCCCACCACCGCAAACCATCTGTGATCCTTCACTGCAGAGCTACTGTCCACAGCAAACTACATGTCATAGTACAACTGTCACAGGCATGCCACTTTCATCCTCCAGACAGCGGTTAAGTTTGGAAATTACTTTATTTGAAATTAAAGCTCTATTTGAAGTTGCCATTTTCCATCATTTCCAACATGCAAACAAATGTGATCCTCTGCGTGTGTGGCCATCATCCTTTTCCTAAATGTGTGTGTGGCCATCATCCTTTTCCTAAATGTGTGTGTCATAATTCTGCCAGTGCCTAGAAAGAAGAGAATTGGGCAAGGTGAGGGAATTCACTGTTCCTGTTGAAAAAACTCCTTTAGAAATTTTGAGCTGGTTTGGTTGGAGGCAAGGTGGAGCCCAAATGACTTGAGACTCTGTCTTGGCATGGAAACAGCCCTCCCTGAGAAGTAGGGCATTGGCTTCCTCCAAGCAGAACTGATTTTGCTATGACTGTATGTGAGCTCTGTGAAACTGTGGACTCAGCAGATATTTTAATTTGAGGATAAAGCACATAAGCAAGTTACAATGAGAAAAACTTCATGCGTGACCAGAGCCTACTGAAATCTTTGAGTGAGGGCCTTGAAGCTACCTTGATTTTATCATGGGCTAGAAACACAAGGCTGTTGCTGAGGAACTGCTTTGTTGCAAATTCAAAACCTGACTCGCCACTTGTAAAGTCTTTATACGTAACATCCTATGGCAATTTCTTTATCAGGAACCCACTCTTTTCAGAGAAGTCTGAATGGTGTTTAATGGAATGGTCTTTACTTAACTGTGTACTTGACCCATAGAAAACTCTGTAACTTGAGCATGTTTTAATAAGACAGTACATGCCTATGTTGCCTCTGCTGTGTTACTAATAAAATGTATAACCCTCGGAACAGTTCCAGATTCAGATCCTGTCTCTTTTAGTGAAATCCAAAGGCTGTTTCTTGCAGCAAGGTTCTTCTCAAATCTTTTTACTACCTCTCTTCCACATTTGGACCATGCACAGAAAAAAGGAAAAGAAACAAACAAAAAAAAAAAGTTTATGAGCTTTTATTCTGTTGCTGGTACTGACAGAAAGACCTGTGATAGTAACTGGACTTGTTCCTCTCTAGGGATCTCCAAATCCATCCTGCTTGGTCATTTTTTTGCAGGACTATAAGCATCCCAGGAGGCGGGTGCATTTACTAACAAACCTCAGGTCTCAAAACTGCCTCCAGTCTCATCAGCCAGATGCTTTTGCGCCTTTAGCTAATAGCTTTTCTTGTAGCAGATCCTGTTCACCAAAACTGTAGGTGGTGGTTGGCTCTTTTCCTGAGCAGTGCAGCAACATCTCAGTTGTCTGTGCTTACAGCCAATGCAGATCCACATGCACAAGGCATGGTGAGAGCTGCTGGTGTGGCTCAGTGCCTCACTTCCAGCTGCAGCATTCCTAGATGCCTGGGGGAAGGGGACTATGGAGACAACAGAGAAGAGCCCTTTCCTTCAGCTGCCCTCCTCTAGATCCTAGGTACCAGTGGGGGACACAGGTACCTAATGTCTTAAGAGAGTGGAAATTTAAGATTAAAACCCCTAGTAGTTATGTGATGAACACCAGAGTGCATGAGCTGCACAATCTCACATGAGTTTTTCAGATAACTCAACAGTGTATTTTTTCCCCCCTCTTATTTCCTTAAACACACAGTCACATCAGGGAATGCTGCACACTGCTGTAGATGCCTAAGAGGCATTCTGGAAGAAATTTTAGCAGGAAGAACCACATTCTCATATACATATGATCCTTACCTCACATAACCCTTTATAAGCACCATTGCTGGTAACAAAGTTCTTACACAACCCACAATATTACAGGCAAGAGGAAAGGAGAAGGTGGAAAGAAGGACCTATGGAGAGTAGGCAGTCTTTGCCTACCTTTGACATGCGTGTGAAGCTTTGAGGTGTCTGTTTTCACTTCTAACATACAGTCTACCCTGCCTGATCCCAGTTAGTGGGTAGAGCGGCACTTCCATGCTGCACTGTGATCAAGAAGTGGCTTGGCTGCTATGCAGGGAAGACAGTGAACACCGCAGATGTGGAACAACAACTCCCTGTAGTAGTTGTGGCAGTTTAGACATGTCCTGGCCAGCCTTACTCTGTTCTGGCCACTGAAGCAAGCACAACTGTTCAAGATCCAGTACTTTTAAGCTGCAAACTAATCTGCAACTTGGTGCCTTTTGTTGTCTTCTGCTACAGTTTGCACTGCAAAAAAACCCTGATATTTAAAAATCACTCCCTCTCAGAAATTACCTACCCTTTAATTTGACTTTAAAAATATCAGCCTTGCATATCCAATGTTTGGAAAAGCAGAAAGTGTCAATGAATTAGTAAACATTAGGTGCTAAGATCAATCTTTCATTATTAGTTCCTTGCTGTGGAATCTATATTGTATGGTAATTGTTTTCCCATCAGCTCTAAGAAACATTGCATTTAAATCACATAAAAAATTAATTTCTGTCCTGCCCAGTGGTGACAGATCAAAGTGATTATTCTTGATACCCTGTCTCCCTGGCCTAACTTTGGAGTTAGCTCAGTTTTTAGCACAGCTTGGACTAAAGAAGAATCTTCTTTCCAACTTGAATTATTCCGTGTTTCTCTCCTGCTGAAGTTAGTAGATGCACCATTACTCAGTGATGCAGGTGTTTTTAGTGCTTTGGAGCATTAGAAGAAATGCTGCAGTATTTTCTTGCCATGCCATGACACAGGCATGAAATGCAGAAAGATTTCACTGCTTTGAACTAAAATCACAGATGCAGAAGTAATTATTTGAATGAATAACAGTAGCCAGCCCAAGCTCTATACTAAAATAAGAGAAAGAATGGTAAAGCTCTATTTATTATTTGGCATACACAAAGATGCTAGAGCTGAAATGAGAAAAGTGAGGGTTGAGGCTGGGTCAGTGACAGGTACAACTAGATCTGTGTCTACAAAACTGAGTTGCATGAAAGTAGTGTCATGTGGTTTTATTGGAGTATCTGTGCTGTTTAAGTTCCTGTGTCTGCAAAGGACTGGCTCAAGGGCAGCCAGTTTTACCCCACTTTGAGGGCAGAAGGAGCATGTGAGGGTGTTATCTCACAGCACTTCACCATTTAGATGCATAGGAGAGATTCCATCTCATATTTATTACTCAGGACTATGGCCAGAAATGAAGCTTTGCATTTTGGGCTGGTGAAGGAAGCTGTGTGTGTAATGCTGAGCCCTGAAATCCTCTGTACACAAAACAGGTATGGCAGAAGCAGTTACCACTAGCAGCAGCAATATATGTCTGCTTCCAAGCTAATGAATTGCATTGTGGCATTTCACCATAAGAAGAAAGTGGTTTTCATTATTGGAATATGATCCCAGTATTACCGGATGGAATGTGCCTGGGCTCGTCTGGCCCTTGCTGCTTGACCAAAGGCAGCAGCTGTGGTGGTTTCACCTCAGAGACACCTTTGGCTGGCTGGATGCTGAAGATCGGCACTTGGGATAAGTCCAGGCAAGCAGGAGCTCAGGTTTACCTCTAATGGAAAGGCTTTAGGCGAGGTGAAGAGGAAAAGGAGACGGATTCTGCTGGAGGGTTTAATCCAGAGTTTTATTCCAGGGTCACAGATCTCCGAATCTTGTTAACAGCTCCAACAGAATATTGACCACATGGTCCCATGTCTTTTTAAGCCCGGGGAAAGGGGGAGGGGAAAAGGGTAGGTGTGCCTGCCACCAACCAGGTGGAAAGGGGGGCAGTCTCAGGGGACAATGACACCTAGAGTAGCCAATGACCCCAGGGCTGAGAAGCATCTTTTGAACTTGACCAACCAGACGACGCCCTTGATGGAATGTTAAGACTGACGGACAGCACTTAGGAAGGGGGCAAGGGGGAGGGGAAGGGAGAGGTTGGCACATCTGAGGGACTGGGAAAGGTGAAACAGGATATTGCTTCACACTGCAACATTTTATGACAGCTCATATCATCCCCGAGGTCACACACTGTGAAAATATTTTCCATATTTTATTGCACACTGTCTCAGTGTGATGCTGGCAGTTCTGATAAAGCAGAGTGGCTTGGATGAGTCAGGGAGGCTGCATGATCTGGGAGCTGTAAATTGAATTCAATTACAGATTACTTTTCCTGTCATCTTTGCAGCATGGCTTATATATTTTTATATATATGTTCAGAAACATAATAAAGGCACCCCATATCCTCAAACTTTGAAATGCAGGAAATTTATATATATACACTATATATATACTCATAAAAGTAAGTTTCCTACATTGTCAATTATCATAAAAGTTTGAGGATTTGAGGTGCTTTTATTATATTTTTGAAATGAGATTACAGAGACCTTGGTATTGTGGAGGACAAAGCTGCTGCAAGACTACTTCATAAGGGGTAAAGATATATCCTAGTCAAATTTTTAGCTCAGAGATACTATTTTCTTTCAGAATAATGTATATGGGGAAGGCTGGAGTTAATTTGTCAAATTTTCCTGCTATTAATGATATTTTGTGTTGCTCCATTCACTTGATGTTCTCAAAATATTTTGATTAAGCCTTTTGAACCACCTTTTTGAAAAACAGGAAAGGTTAAAACCCTTTCCACAGTGGGTCCAGTGATCTGCTCAATGTTCACCAGTACTTCAGGGCTAGAAAGAGATTTTAAACTACAGCATCTGGACTGGAATTTAAAATCCTACTCCAGTCCTGGGAAAGCACACATTTTCCCAACCTTTTCTTCCTGCTCCTTCCCTACAAAGAT